TACGGACGGACGGACGGACGGACAGACAGACGGGCATGGCTAGATCGGCTTGGCTATTGATGCTGATCAAGAACATATGTGCTTAATGGATGCTTCCTTCTGCCTGTTACATACATTTGGAATTTGCACAAATACAGTATACCCTTATACCCATTTTTAATGGGTTCAGTGTATAAAAAGGAACTAAAACAACATTACAAAAAAAAGATGCAATTACCATGCTTTTAGAATGCGATAGAATGCGAAGCAGACGCGCATGAATTTGTGTATGTACATGTATACAGAAATTCTTAAAGCTGCTGCCCCATTCAATTGCGCAGTTGCATATAACTTTGATTTTTTCTTAACCGATCCTTATGAAATTTTCTACAGTATATCCTATTGTACCATAGAATATTTGTGTATTCTGAAAAAATCAATTGCATTTAAATTGTGGTTTTAATTGGTTGGCAATAAAAGTTGGGTTAATAACTTGATTTATAGCTCTGGAATGGTAGCGGGGAGGTGGCGATAGGTATGAAATGAAAGATACTTGAAATATCTTTAATATTCTAGAAGCAACATATCATATCTGGTGGCTCTAGCTCTTATTATTTACCCAATTTGCTAAAAAAAAAACAGGATGTCGATATCGATTTTTATCGATTGCTTGGAAATGGAGTAAGTTATCGATTATCGGAAACAAACTCGATAGGATAGGTTCTGAGATCCTTGAGCTCATACATACGGACGGACGGACGGACAGACAGACGGACATGGCTAGATCGACTCGGCTATTGATGCTGATCAAGAATATATATACTTTATGGGGTCGGAGATGCTTCCTTCTTTCTGTTACATACATTAGGATTGTGCACAAATACAATATACCCTTATACCCATTTTTGATGAGTTCAGGGTATAAATATAATATACATATATATAATATATAAATATAAAAAAATAAAACTTAATCGTGAACTGGTTTATATTCTGTTTACTTGTCAGATTTTTAGATGTGCATATCATCTAGAGAAATGTGTTTATGTTTTACGGTGAATTTTAGTTCAGCTTCGGAGTGGTTTAATATCTTAAATGTAAAGAGAGGAGAGAAGCGGCGGTTTGAAAGCTTGCGCCTTGTCAAGAAAAGTGTAAACTTGTCTGCTGAAGGCATTTGCAGTGGTTTATCGGGGTCTCATACTGGAACGTGTGAGTTTCCCAACCGACGCGATGTGGTCAATTGTATCGCGGCTGTCATGCGGAGGGAGTTTATTTGAGTAGCAAATAAGAATGGCATCAAGTTCATCAGTACGTAAGTAAGTGTTAAGAGCAACATGTTTGGTAAGTTTAGCAGCTTGTTGCAATTTGATTAATTTAAATAGGGAAAAATAAACAAGACCATATTTTGTAGAAAATGCCTATTTTTATCCCTTAAATTAAGCTTTTTATGCCAACTTCCTTTTCTTGCATACATGCTAAAAACTTGAGAAGTGGAAGCTATTTAGGTAAAGACATACCAGCCTCTCCAATATCTTCAGAATAAATAATTAAGGTTCTCCAGTCGGAGTTCCCGAATAGGGAATCCCCTGAACCCCCCTCAGTCAACACCAATTCCTATAATAGAATATAAACAAGAGGTTCTAGTCGGGAGCTCCCGACTAGGGTATCCCCTAGGGGATACCCTGAACCCTCTGCTTCCAACATCAAATGCATATATGTATATATTCTATTTTTGAAACTTTATGTCAAGTTTGGTGACTCTAGCTCTTATTATTTTGATCGATTTTTATCGATTGCTTGAAAATGGAAAGAGTTATCGATTATCGGAAACAAACTCACTCTGCGCATGCACTAAGAGCACCTACATCTAAATCAACATACGGACGGACGGACAGACAGACGGACATGGCTAGATCGACTCGGCTATTGATGCTGATCAATAATATATATAATTTATGGGGTCGGAGATACTTCCTTTTGCATGTTATATACATTTGGATTTTGCACAAATACAATATACCCTTATACCAGTAACCAAACAACATATAGACTAGACATGAGTACCAGAAGTAGACACAAAATGTATCGGTGGCATCTGGTCCAAACTCGCGAGTAAGGGAGTAAGATATACATATGATGTATTTTTGAACCGCTTACTCTACAGGAAAGTGCTTCGCTCACTCTCTTCCATATGATTTGTGCGATAGAACGGCAACGCTGTTAACTTTTATCTCGCTCGCACTTACTCTCGGCACTTAATGCTATCTCCATGTTTAGGGATCGTTTCAATGTGTGTGTGTGTGTATTTGTCCGACGAGCAAATCTGCGCACAAGGACCAGATGCCTCCGATACTTTTTGTGACAACGCTGTTTGTATGTGATGTCCAGTCTATATGTTGTTTGGTTAGTGCTTATACCCATTTTTAACGGGTTCAGGGTATAAAAATAAAATAAACAAGAGGTTCTAGTCAGGAACTCCCGCCTACGAAATAACGTGAACCCTCCTATTCCAACATCAAATATATTATAAAAGTTCCCTTGGCAGGGTTCGAACTCGCAACTGGCCGCATTACTTGCTGTCGACGTTAATCAACAGCCAGACCAGCAAAAAAAAAAAAATAAAATAAGAAATACTTTCCACGTTAGGGCCCGAACTCACGACAGACCGCACCACTTGCTCAGCCTCTACTCAGCAGCCACACCAATAATTAATTATTATATATATAATATAGTTATAATAATTATTTACAAGAAAAAGAAAACAAACTAAAATAAAATTACAGAAAACAGTCGCAATTTCCATGCAGTTAGAATGCGAAGCAGACGCGCATGAATGTGTGTGTGTATATGTATACAGAAATTCTCGCTAGCTGTCCCATCCAGTTGCGCAGTTGCATGTGTATAGTTTTGGTTTTTTCTTAACTGATCTTTATGAAATTTTTTTTACAATATATCTTATTGGTCCATACAATTTTTGTGTATTCTCAAAAAGTCAATTGCATTTAAATTGTGGCTTAAATTGGTTTGATTTATAGCTGTGTGCTGGTAGCGAAAAGGTGGCGATAGGTATTAAATGAGAGAATCTTGACATATATACATATAATATTCTAGAATCATTATATGTTTGGTGACTCTGGCTCTTATTATTTACCCAATTTGCTCAATAAACAGGATGTCAATATCGATTCTTATCGCTTGCTAGAAAATTGAGTAAGTTATCCATTATCAGAAACAATCTCGATTCTACCTGTTACATACATTATGTATTATCAGTAACCAAACAACATATAGACTGGACATGAGTACAGGAAAGTAGACACAAAAAGTATCGGTGGCATCTGGTCCAAACTCGCGAGTAAGGGAGTAAGATATACATATGATGTATTTTTGAACCCCTTACTCTACGGGAAAGTGCTTGGCGCACTCTCTTCCATATGATTTGTGCGATAGAACGGCAACGCTGTTAAATTTTATCTCGCTCGCACTTACTCTCAGCTCTCAATGCTCTCTCTTTATGTTTAGGGATCGTTTAAATGTGTGTGTGTGTATGTGTCCGACGAGCAAAACTGCGCAAAAATTCAAATTTTCCGAAATGCTGAGGCATTTTGTACCCTTTTGAAGGCACGAGTAATATGAAATAGAGGAAGGGTTTGCCACGTCGATGCGAAATTCTGGCATTTTAGTTCGCTATCGTTGGTAAGGGTACCCAAACGTTGCCATGTGTGCATTTAAAATATTTTGGACTCGCTATTTACGCATAGTTGCACATTTTGTATATGAATAAAACCATTTATGCGCTTGTGTGCCTGTCTGTCCCCGATGCAAATTTAACAAGATTTTGGGATTTCTTATTTTCGACCTTTTAACATAGGCACACACATACAAATGTCTGTGAATGTGCGCAAAATAAAATATCATTATTGGCACGCGTCTGACGCGCGCCCTTCTTTTTTAAGATTTATGATGATTAGGATTTTAAATATGCAAGTATTTGTGAATAGCGAGTCCAAAATATGTTAAATGCACACATGGCAACGCTTGGGTACCCTTACCAACGATAGCGAGTTTGTGCCAACGTTGTTTCTATGTGTTGTCCAGTCTATATGTTGTTTGGTTAGTGGTATTATGCACAGCTTTATTAGACTCTTTTAACCAATTTTTAATGGTTCAGGGTATAAAAACGTTAAACTAATGGGTTAGTACTTATTTCTTGGCCTATGGCCTATATTTATTTGAAATGAAACTGTAAACGGTAAATATTAGGACCGAAGTGCAAGCAACTTAATCCATTGCATGCCTTAAAAAGCATAGACGTGTGCCATTTAGTCCTAAAGGTTAATTTGGGCTAAAGGTTTTCATGGCCACACTACTTTAATGAAACACCGTTGCGGGGTCGTCGATTCTGGGTTCCTGGGATGTACTGCCCCATCTCTTTCTTATTTCGATGGTAGCGAGAATTTTCACCTTCGCTTCTGTGCCACACAGCCCGGGAAGTGAGTTTCCAGCAGTTTGCCCTCATTTGCTACTATCTGGCTTCTTAAGTGTACATATCCCTTTTGAGCAATATCTGTCAATTGCCTTTTGATTCTTCCACAGTGGTTCTTCTTAGATCTTTGTTATAGAGGTTATAGAATGTTGTAGTGTTATTCCACCAGGGGATATATCGATTGACCGTCCGGATCTTTTGTGTGCACCTTTAATGGGTGCTTCGTTTAATAAAGCACATTAGTGTCATAATCCGATTCGATCACTCAAATTTGTTGCTTGAATTTTGAGCAAAGTGATTCCAGCGGAAAATTGATTTCATATATATACAAGGGCTGTATAAGCGACTCGTTTATTTAATATAAGCGCCTTTTCGGCGACGGAGCTCGCCACACTGTGCTGCAGTCTTTTTACCCAAGCAAAGTTCAAATATTAATTTCTGGTTTCTTAGCAGGCCCATGGCGATTGTAACAGCCTCTGCTCTCTGTAGAGAACTCGTTAATCTAACAGTCGAAAGGTCTTCTTGTCCTTTTCAGACGCTGGGCAGTAGCTGGAAAAATGTGAGTCCGGGTATTTATTTCCTCTGGTAGTGCCTCCAGAATTTTAACTTTCCATGGTGTTAGATGCGGCAACAGTGCGTTCAGCCAGTCCGCTAGGACAGTCAGGAGACAGAGCACTCCGAGGGAAAATTACAACCTGAGTTAGTAGTGCGGCTACACTCCACTGCCTACGATGCACTGTCGGCTATCTCCGGCACGGTTTTGTCATGGCTCTCTTGCCTGAAGTTTATTCGAGAGTCTTTTTGAGCGATCTACTATAATCAATAAAAAGCTTCAAACCTTGGCTTTCCCTTAGTTTCGCATTTGGTGGATTAATATTCTTCTTTTTGTTTTACAGAGATTTAGATACAATTTTAAGATTTAATATTATCAACAAATTGCTTAAAATCTTACACCGCTAAACCAGAAAAATATGCAAGTATGCTTGAATAGCGAGTCCAAAATATGTTAAATGCACACATGGCAACGCTTGGGTACCCTTAACAACGATAGCGAGTTTGTGCCGACGTTGTTTCTATGTGTTGTCCAGTCTATATGTTGTTTGGTTAGTGGTATTATGCACAGCTATATTAGACTCTTTTAACCAATTTTTAGTGGTTCAGGGTATAAAAATGTTAAACTAATGGGTTAGTACTTATTTCTTGGCCTATGGCCTATATTTATTTGAAATGAAACTGTAAACGGTAAATATTAGGACCGAAGTGCAAGCAACTTAATCCATTGCATGCCTTAAAAAGCATAGACGTGTGCCATTTAGTCCTAAAGGTTAATTTGGACTAAAGGTTTTCATGGCCACACTACTTTAATGAAACACCATTGCGGGGTCGTCGATTCTGGGTTCCTGGGATGTACTGCCCCATCTCTTTCTCATTTCGATGGTAGCGAGAATTTTCACCTTCGCTTCTGTGCCACACAACCCGGGAAGTGAGTTTCCAGCAGTTTGCCCTCATTTGCTACCATCTGGCTTCTTAAGTGTACATATCCCTTTTGAACAATATCTGTCAATTGCCTTTTGATTCTTCCACAGTGGTTCTTCTTAGATCTTTGTTATAGATGTTATAGAATGTTGTAGTGTTATTCCACCAGGGGATATATCGATTGACCGTCCGGATCTTTTGTGTGCACCTTTAATGGGTGCTTCGTTTAATAAAGCACATTAGTGTCATACTCCGATTCGATCACTCAAATTTGTTGCTTGAATTTTGGGCAAAGTGATTCCAGTGGAAAATTGATTTCATATATATACAAGGGCTGTATAAGCGACTCGTTTATTTAATATAAGCGCCTTTTCGGCGACGGAGCTCGCCACACTGTGCTGCAGTCTTTTTACCCAAGCAAAGTTCAAATATTAATTTCTGGTTTCTTAGCAGGCCCATGGCGATTGTAACAGCCTCTGCTCTCTGTAGAGAACTCGTTAATCTAACAGTCGAAAGGTCTTCTTGTCCTTTTCAGACGCTGGGCAGTAGCTGGCAAAAATGTGAGTCCGGGTATTTATTTCCTCTGGTAGTGCCTCCAGAATTTTAACTTTCCATGGTGTTAGATGCGGCAACAGTGCGTTCAGCCAGTCCGCTGGGACAGTCAGGAGAAATAGCACTACGAGGGAAAATTACAACCTGAGTTAGTGGTGCGGCTACACTCCACTGACGACGATGCACTGTCGGCTACCTCCGGCACGGTTTTGTCATGGCTCTCTTGCCTGAAGGTTATTCGAGAGTCTTTTTGAGCGATCTACTATAATCAATAAAAAGCTTCAAACCTTGGCTCTCCCATAGTTTCGCATTTGGTGGATTAATATTCTTCTTTTTGTTTTACAGAGATTTAGGTACAATTTTCAGATTTAATATTATCAACAAATTGCTTAAAATCTTTCACCGCTAATCCAGAAAATTGCTTTTGCATTCCCAATAGGATGGTCTTGGGCTTGTCCTGCTTTAGTTTTGCAGTGATGGAAGCGAATCCGAAGCAAACATGGAGAAAGAACCCCAACAGCCGTATTTTAGTTGTTATTCATTTATTAACCTTGGCTACAAGTTGTTGCATTAAAATTTTATGCGTCTCGGCGTAGCGTTTATTGTTGCGGGCGATTACTTCTAATCTGTGCTAAAGTCAGCCTACATTGTGGTGGCTCCCTGCTTTCTTTGAGCTCTGCTAGAAATCGATTCTGTATTCGTTTTCTATACTTTCCCTCTTATCGCGGGAGATTGGCTCTCTTTTTTGCCTATATCCAGAACACTAATATGAATTATATGTTAGGCTGCGGTAATGATCTCCTCACGCTGATAAAAAATGCTAGGCTTCAGTAACAACATATCAGTTGCAAATAAAAGAATTTGAATCCCAAACAACCCAAAAAGCGGTCATGACCGATGGATATGAGGTGTTTCCTTAGCAAATGCAGCAATCTAATAATCTATGCTGAGGCATTTCTACCCTTTTGAAGGCACGAGTAATATGAAATAGAGAAAGGGTTTGCCACGTCGATACGAATTTCTTGCATTTTAGCTCGCTATCGTTGGAAAGGGTACAAAATGTGCAAGTATGCGTAAATAGGGAGTCCAAAATATGTTAAATGCACACATGGCAACGCTTGGGTACCCTTACCAACGATAGCGAGCTTGTGCCAACGTTGTTTCTATGTGTTGTCCAGACTATATGTTGTTTGGTTAGTGGTATTATGTATAGCTATATTAGACTCTTTTAACCAATTTTTTATGGTTCAGGGTATAAAAAAGTTAAACTAATGGGTTAGTACTTATATCTTGGCCTATGGCCTATATTTATTTGAAATGAAACTGTAAACGGTAAATATTAGGACCGAAGTGGAAACAACTTAATCCATTGCATGCCTTAAAAAGCATAGACGTGTGCCATTTAGTCCTAAAGGTTAATTTGGGCTAAAGGTTTTCATGGCCACACTACTTTAATGAAACACCATTGCGGGGTCGTCGATTCTGGGTTCCTGGGATGTACTGCTCCATCTCTTTCTCATTTCGATGGTAGTGAGAATTTTCACCTTCGCTTCTGTGCCACACAGCCCGGGAAGTGAGTTTCCAGCAGTTTGCCCTCATTTGCTACCATCTGGCTTCTTAAGTGTACATATCCCTTTTGAGCAATATTTGTCAATTGCCTTTTGATTCTTCCACAGTGGTTCTTCTTAGATCTTTGTTATAGAGGTTATAGAATGTTGTAGTATTATTCCACCAGGGGATATATCGATTGACCGTCCGGATCTTTTGTGTGCACCTTTAATGGGTGCTTCGTTTAATAAAGCACATTAGTGTCATAATCCGATTCGATCACTCAAATTTGTTGCTTGAATTTTGAGCAAAGTGATTCCAGTGGAAAATTGATTTCATATATATACAAGGGCTGTATAAGCGACTCGTTTCTTTAAACTAAGCGCCTTTTCGGCGACGGAGCTCGCCACACTGTGCTGCAGTCTTTTTTACCCAAGCAAAGTTCAAATATTAATTTCTGGTTTCTTAGCAGGCCCATGGCGATTGTAACAGCCTCTGCTCTCTGTAGAGAACTCGTTAATCTAACAGTCGAAAGGTCTTCTTGTCCTTTTCAGACGCTGGGCAGTAGCTGGCAAAAATGTGAGTCCGGGTATTTATTTCCTCTGGTAGTGCCTCCAGAATTTTAACTTTCCATGGTGTTAGATGCGGCAACTGTGCGTTCAGTCAGTCCGCTAGGACAGTCAGGAGAAATAGCACTACGAGGGAAAATTACAACCTGTTAGTTGTGCGGCTACACTCCACTGACGACGATGCACTGTCGGCTACCCCCGGCACGGTTTTGTCATGGCTCTCTTGCCTGAAGTTTATTCGAGAGTCTTTTTGAGCGATCTACTATAATCAAGAAAAAGCTTCAAACCTTGGCTCTCCCATAGTTTCGAATTTGGTGGATTAATATTCTTCTTTTTGTTTTACAGAGATTTAGGTACAATTTTCAGATTTAATATTATCAACAAATTGCTTAAAATCTTTCACCGCTAATCCAGAAAATTGCTATTGCATTCCCAATAGGATGGTCTTGGGCTTGTCCTGCTTTAGTTTTGCAGTGATGGAAGCGAATCCGAAGCAAACATGGAGAAAGAACCCCAACAGCCGTATTTTAGTTGTTATTCATTTATTAACCTTGGCTACAAGTTGTTGCATTAAAATTTTATGCGTCTCGGCGTAGCGTTTATTGTTGCGGGCGATTACTTCTAATCTGTGCTAAAGTCAGCCTACATTGTGGTGGCTCCCTGCTATCTTTGAGCTCTGCTAGAAATCGATTCTGTATTCGTTTTCTATACTTTCCCTCTTATCGCGGGAGATTGGCTCTCTTTTTTGCCTATATCCAGAACACTAATATGAATTATATGTTAGGCTGCGGTAATGATCTCCTCACGCTGATAAAAAATGCTAGGCTTCAGTAACAACATATCAGTTGCAAATAAAAGAATTTGAATCCCAAACAACCCAAAAAGCGGTCATGACCGATGGATATGAGGTGTTTCCTTAGCAAATGCAGCAATCTAATAATCTATGCTGAGGCATTTCTACCCTTTTGAAGGCACGAGTAATATGAAATAGAGAAAGGGTTTGCCACGTCGATGCGAAATTCTTGCATTTTAGCTCGCTATCGTTGGTAAGGGTACAAGATACTGCCCCATCTCTTTCTTATTTCGATGGTAGCGAGAATTTTCACCTTCGCTTCTGTGCCACACAGCCCGGGAAGTGAGTTTCCAGCAGTTTGCCCTCATTTGCTACCATCTGGCTTCTTAAGTGTACATATCCCTTTTGAGCAATATCTGTCAATTGCCTTTTGATTCTTCCACAGTGGTTCTTCTTAGATCATTGTTATAGAGGTTATAGAATGTTGTAGTGTTATTCCACCAGGGGATATATCGATTAACCGTCCGGATCTTTTGTGTGCACCTTTAATGGGTGCTTCGTTTAATAAAGCACATTAGTGTCATACTCCGATTCGATCACTCAAATTTATTGCTTGAATTTTGGGCAAAGTGATTCCAGTGGAAAATTGATTTCATATATATGCAAGGGCTGTATAAGCGACTCGTTTATTTAAAATAAGCGCCTTTTCGGCGACGGAGCTCGCCACACTGTGCTGCAGTCTTTTTTACCCAAGCAAAGTTCAAATATTAATTTCTGGTTTCTTAGCAGGCCCATGGCGATTGTAACAGCCTCTGCTCTCTGTAGAGAACTCGTTAATTAACAGTCGAAAGGTCTTCTTGTCCTTTTCAGACGCTGGGCAGTAGCTGGCAAAAATGTGAGTCCGGGTATTTATTTCCTCTGGTAGTGCCTCCAGAATTTTAACTTTCCATGGTGTTAGATGCGGCAACAGTGCGTTCAGCCAGTCCGCTGGGACAGTCAGGAGAAATAGCACTACGAGGGAAAATTACAACCTGAGTTAGTGGTGCGGCTACACTCCACTGACGACGATGCACTGTCGGCTACCTCCGGCACGGCTTTGTCATGGCTCTCTTGCCTGAAGTTTATTCGAGGGTCTTTTTGAGCGATCTACTATAATCAATAAAATGCATCAAACCTTGGCTCTCCCTTAGTTTCGCATTTGGTGGATTAATATTCTTCTTTTTGTTTTACAGAGATTTAGGTACAATTTACAGATTTAATATTATCAACAAATTGCTTAAAATCTTTCACCGCTAATCCAGAAAATTGCTTTTGCATTCCCAATAGGATGGTCTTGGGCTTGTCCTGCCTTAGTTTTGCAGTGATGGAAGCGAATCTGAAGCAAACATGGAGAAAGAACCCCAACAGCCGTATTTTAGTTGTTATTCATTTATTAACCTTGGCTACAAGTTGTTGCATTAAAATTTTATGCGTCTCGGCGTAGCGTTTATTGTTGCGGGCGATTACTTCTAATCTGTGCTAAAGTCAGCCTACATTGTGGTGGCTCCCTGCTTTCTTTGAGCTCTGCTAGAAATCGATTCTGTATTCGTTTTCTATACTTTCCCTCTTATCGCGGGAGATTGGCTCTCTTTTTTGCCTATATCCAGAACACTAATATGAATTATATGTTAGGCTGCGGTAATGATCTCCTCACGCTGATAAAAAATGCTAGGCTTCAGTAACAATATATCAGTTGCAAATAAAGAATTTGAATCCCAAACAACCCAAAAAGCGGTCATGACCGATGGATATGAGGTGTTTCCTTAGCAAATGCAGCAATCTAATAATCTATGCTGAGGCATTTCTACCCTTTTGAAGGCACGAGTAATATGAAATAGAGAAAGGGTTTGCCACGTCGATACGAATTTCTTGCATTTTAGCTCGCTATCGTTGGAAAGGGTACAAAATGTGCAAGTATGCGTAAATAGGGAGTCCAAAATATGTTAAATGCACACATGGCAGCGCTTGGGTACCCTTACCAACGATAGCGAGTTTGTGCCAACGTTGTTTATTTGTGATGTCCAGACTATATGTTGTTTGGTTAGTGGTATTATGCATAGCTATATTAGACTCTTTTAACCAATTTTTTATGGTTCAGGGTATAAAAAAGTTAAACTAATGGGTTAGTACTTATATCTTGGCCTATGGCCTATATTTATTTGAAATGAAACTGTAAACGGTAAATATTAGGACCGAAGTGGAAACAACTTAATCCATTGCATGCCTTAAAAAGCATAGACGTGTGCCATTTAGTCCTAAAGGTTAATTTGGACTAAAGGTTTTCATGGCCACACTACTTTAATGAAACACCATTGCGGGGTCGTCGATTCTGGGTTCCTGGGATGTACTGCTCCATCTCTTTCTCATTTCGATGGTAGCGAGAATTTTCACCTTCGCTTCTGTGCCACACAGCCCGGGAAGTGAGTTTCCAGCAGTTTGCCCTCATTTGCTACCATCTGGCTTCTTAAGTGTACATATCCCTTTTGAGCAATATTTGTCAATTGCCTTTTGATTCTTCCACAGTGGTTCTTCTTAGATCTTTGTTATAGAGGTTATAGAATGTTGTAGTGTTATTCCACCAGGGGATATATCGATTGACCGTCCGGATCTTTTGTGTGCACCTTTAATGGATGCTTCGTTTAATAAAGCACATTAGTGTCATAATCCGATTCGATCACTCAAATTTGGTGCTTGAATTTTGAGCAAAGTGATTCCAGTGGAAAATTGATTTCATATATATACAAGGGCTGTATAAGCGACTCGTTTATTGAATATAAGCGCCTTTTCGGCGACGGAGCTCGCCACACTGTGCTGCAGTCTTTTTTACCCAAGCAAAGTTCAAATATTAATTTCTGGTTTCTTAGCAGGCCCATGGCGATTGTAACAGCCTCTGCTCTCTGTAGAAAACTCGTTAATTAACAGTCGAAAGGTCTTCTTGTCCTTTTCAGACGCTGGGCAGTAGCTGGCAAAAATGTGAGTCCGGGTATTTATTTCCTCTGGTAGTGTCTCCAGAATTTTAACTTTCCATGGTGTTAGATGCGGCAACAGTGCGTTCAGCCAGTCCGCTGGGACAGTCAGGAGAAATAGCACTACGAGCGAAAATTACAACCTGAGTTAGTGGTGCGGCTACACTCCACTGACGACGATGCACTGTCGGCTACCTCCGGCACGGTTTTGTCATGGCTCTCTTGCCTGAAGTTTATTCGAGGGTCTTTTTGAGCGATCTACTATAATCAATAAAAAGCATCAAACCTTGGCTCTCCCTTAGTTTCGCATTTGGTGGATTAATATTCTTCTTTTTGTTTTACAGAGATTTAGGTACAATTTTCAGATTTAATATTATCAACAAATTGCTTAAAATCTTTCACCACTAATCCAGAAAATTGCTTTTGCATTCCCAATAGGATGGTCTTGGGCTTGTCCTGCCTTAGTTTTGCAGTGATGGAAGCGAATCTGAAGCAAACATGGAGAAAGAACCCCAACAGCCGTATTTTAGTTGTTATTCATTTATTAACCTTGGCTACCAGTTGTTGCATTAAAATTTTATGCGTCTCGGCGTAGCGTTTATTATTGCGGGTGATTACTTCTAATCTGTGCTAAAGTCAGCCTACATTGTGGTGGTTCCCTGCTTTCTTTGAGGCCTGCTCGAAATCGATTCTGTATTTGTTTTCTATACTTTCCCTCTTATCGCGGGAGATTGGCTCTTTTTTGCCTATATCCAGAACACTAATATGAATTATATGTTAGGCTGCGGTAATGATCTCCTCACGCTGACAAAAAATGCTAGGCTTCAGTAACAACATATCAGTTGCAAATAAAGAATTTGAATCCCAAACAACCCAAAAAGCGGTCATGACCGATGGATATGAGGTGTTTCCTTAGCAAATGCAGCAATCTAATAATATATGCTGAGGCATTTCTACCCTTTTGAAGGCACGAGTAATATGAAATAGAGAAAGGGTTTGCCACGTCGATACGAATTTCTTGCATTTTAGCTCGCTATCGTTGGAAAGGGTACAAAATGTGCAAGTATGCGTAAATAGGGAGTCCAAAATATGTTAAATGCACACATGGCAACGCTTGGGTACCCTTACCAACGATAGCGAGCTTGTGCCAACGTTGTTTCTATGTGTTGTCCAGACTATATGTTGTTTGGTTAGTGGTATTATGCATAGCTATATTAGACTCTTTTAACCAATTTTTTATGGTTCAGGGTATAAAAAAGTTAAACTAATGGGTTAGTACTTATATCTTGGCCTATGGCCTATATTTATTTGAAATGAAACTGTAAACGGTAAATATTAGGACCGAAGTGGAAACAACTTAATCCATTGCATGCCTTAAAAAGCATAGACGTGAGCCATTTAGTCCTAAAGGTTAATTTGGACTAAAGGTTTTCATGGCCACACTACTTTAATGAAACACCATTGCGGGGTCGTCGATTCTGGGTTCCTGGGATGTACTGCTCCATCTCTTTCTCATTTCGATGGTAGCGAGAATTTTCACCTTCGCTTCTGTGCCACACAGCCCGGGAAGTGAGTTTCCAGCAGTTTGCCCTCATTTGCTACCATCTGGCTTCTTAAGTGTACATATCCCTTTTGAGCAATATTTGTCAATTGCCTTTTGATTCTTCCACAGTGGTTCTTCTTAGATCTTTGTTATAGAGGTTATAGAATGTTGTAGTGTTATTCCACCAGGGGATATATCGATTGACCGTCCGGATCTTTTGTGTGCACCTTTAATGGGTGCTTCGTTTAATAAAGCACATTAGTGTCATAATCCGATTCGATCACTCAAATTTGTTGCTTGAATTTTGAGCAAAGTGATTCCAGTGGAAAAAATATATTTCATATATATACAAGGGCTGTATAAGCGACTCGTTTCTTTAAACTAAGCGCCTTTTCGGCGACGGAGCTCGCCACACTGTGCTGCAGTCTTTTTTACCCAAGCAAAGTTCAAATATTAATTTCTGGTTTCTTAGCAGGCCCATGGCGATTGTAACAGCCTCTGTTCTCTGTAGAGAACTTGTTAATCTAACAGTCGAAAGGTCTTCTTGTCCTTTTCAGACGCTGGGCAGTAGCTGGCAAAAATGTGAGTCCGGGTATTTATTTCCTCTGGTAGTGCCTCCAGAATTTTAACTTTCCATGGTGTTAGATGCGGCAACAGTGCGTTCAGTCAGTCCGCTAGGACAGTCAGGAGAAATAGCACTACGAGGGAAAATTACAACCTGAGTTAGTTGTGCGGCTACACTCCACTGACGACGATGCACTGTCGGCTACCCCCGGCACGGTTTTGTCATGGCTCTCTTGCCTGAAGTTTATTCGAGAGTCTTTTTGAGCGATCTACTATAATCAAGAAAAAGCTTCAAACCTTGGCTCTCCCATAGTTTCGAATTTGGTGGATTAATATTCTTCTTTTTGTTTTACAGAGATTTAGGTACAATTTTCAGACTTAATATTATCAACAAATTGCTTAAAATCTTTCACCACTAATCCAGAAAATGGCTTTTGCATTCCCAATAGGATGGTCTTGGGCTTGTCCTGCCTTAGTTTTGCAGTGATGGAAGCGAATCCGAAGCAAACATGGAGAAAGAACCCCAACAGCCGTATTTTAGTTGTTATTCATTTATTAACCTTGGCTACAAGTTGTTGCATTAAAATTTTATGCGTCTCGGCGTAGCGTTTATTGTTGCGGGCGATTACTTCTAATCTGTGCTAAAGTCAGCCTACATTGTGGTGGCTCCCTGCTTTCTTTGAGCTCTGCTAGAAATCGATTCTGTATTCGTTTTCTATACTTTCCCTCTTATCGCGGGAGATTGGCCCTCTTTTTTGCCTATATCCAGAACACTAATATGAATTATATGTTAGGCTGCGGTAATGATCTCCTCACGCTGATAAAAAATGCTAGGCTTCAGTAACAACATATCAGTTGCAAATAAAAGAATTTGAATCCCAAACAACCAAAAAAGCGGTCATGACCGATGGATATGAGGTGTTTCCTTAGCAAATGCAGCAATCTAATAATCTATGCTGAGGCATTTCTACCCTTTTGAAGGCACGAGTAATATGAAATAGAGAAAGGGTTTGCCACGTCGATGCGAAATTCTTGCATTTTAGCTCGCTATCGTTGGTAAGGGTACAAGATACCGCCCCATCTCTTTCTTATTTCGATGGTAGCGAGAATTTTCACCTTCGCTTCTGTGCCACACAGTCCGGGAAGTGAGTTTCCAGCAGTTTGCCCTCATTTGCTACCATCTGGCTTCTTAAGTGTACATATCCCTTTTGAGCAATATCTGTCAATTGCCTTTTGATTCTTCCACAGTGGTTCTTCTTAGATCTTTGTTATAGAGGTTATAGAATGTTGTAGTGTTATTCCACCAGGGGATATATCGATTAACCGTCCGGATCTTTTGTGTGCACCTTTAATGGGTGCTTCGTTTAATAAAGCATATTAGTGTCATACTCCGATTCGATCACTCAAATTTGTTGCTTGAATTTTGGGCAAAGTGATTCCAGTGGAAAATTGATTTCATATATATACAAGGGCTGTATAAGCGACTCGTTTATTTAATATAAGCGCCTTTTCGGCGACGGAGCTCGCCGCACTGTGCTGCAGTCTTTTTTACCCAAGCAAAGTTCAAATATTAATTTCTGGTTTCTTAGCAGGCCCATGGCGATTGTAACAGCCTCTGCTCTCTGTAGAAAACTCGTTAATTAACAGTCGAAAGGTCTTCTTGTCCTTTTCAGACGCTGGGCAGTAGCTGGCAAAAATGTGAGTCCGGGTATTTATTTCCTCTGGTAGTGCCTCCAGAATTTTAACTTTCCATGGTGTTAGATGCGGCAACAGTGCGTTCAGCCAGTCCGCTGGGACAGTCAGGAGAAATAGCACTACGAGGGAAAATTACAACCTGCGTTAGTGGTGCGGCTACACTCCTCTGACGACGATGCACTGTCGGCTACCTCCGGCACGGTTTTGTCATGGCTCTCTTGCCTGAAGTTTATTCGAGGGTCTTTTTGAGCGATCTACTATAATCAATAAAAAGCGTCAAACCTTGGCTCTCCCTTAGTTTCGCATTTGGTGGATTAATATTCTTCTTTTTGTTTTACAGAGATTTAGGTACAATTTTCAGATTTAATATTATCAACAAATTGCTTAAAATCTTTCACCGCTAATCCAGAAAATTGCTTTTGCATTCCCAATAGGATGGTCTTGGGCTTGTCCTGCCTTAGTTTTGCAGTGATGGAAGCGAATCTGATGCAAACATGGAGAAAGAACCCCAACAGCCGTATTTTAGTTGTTATTCATTTATTAACCTTGGCTACCAGTTGTTGCATTAAAATTTTATGCGTCTCGGCGTAGCGTTTATTATTGCGGGTGATTACTTCTAATCTGTGCTAAAGTCAGCCTACATTGTGGTGGTTCCCTGCTTTCTTTGAGGCCTGCTCGAAATCGATTCTGTATTTGTTTTCTATACTTTCCCTCTTATCGCGGGAGATTGGCTCTTTTTTGCCTATATCCAGAACACTAATATGAATTATATGTTAGGCTGCGGTAATGATCTCCTCACGCTGATAAAAAATGCTAGGCTTCAGTAACAACATATCAGTTGCAAATAAAGAATTTGAATCCCAAACAACCCAAAAAGCGGTCATGACCGATGGATATGAGGTGTTTCCTTAGCAAATGCAGCAATCTAATAATATATGCTGAGGCATTTCTACCCTTTTGAAGGCACGAGTAATATGAAATAGAGAAAGGGTTTGCCACGTCGATACGAATTTCTTGCATTTTAGCTCGCTATCGTTGGAAAGGGTACAAAATGTGCAAGTATGCGTAAATAGGGAGTCCAAAATATGTTAAATGCACACATGGCAACGCTTGGGTACCCTTACCAACGATAGCGAGCTTGTGCCAACGTTGTTTCTATGTGTTGTCCAGACTATATGTTGTTTGGTTAGTGGTATTATGCATAGCTATATTAGACTCTTTTAACCAATTTTTTATGGTTCAGGGTATAAAAAAGTTAAACTAATGGGTTAGTACTTATATCTTGGCCTATGGCCTATATTTATTTGAAATGAAACTGTAAACGGTAAATATTAGGACCGAAGTGGAAACAACTTAATCCATTGCATGCCTTAAAAAGCATAGACGTGTGCCATTTAGTCCTAAAGGTTAATTTGGGCTAAAGGTTTTCATGGCCACACTACTTTAATGAAACACCATTGCGGGGTCGTCGATTCTGGGTTCCTGGGATGTACTGCTCCATCTCTTTCTCATTTCGATGGTAGCGAGAATTTTCACCTTCGCTTCTGTGCCACACAGCCCGGGAAGTGAGTTTCCAGCAGTTTGCCCTCATTTGCTACCATCTGGCTTCTTAAGTGTACATATCCCTTTTGAGCAATATTTGTCAATTGCCTTTTGATTCTTCCACAGTGGTTCTTCTTAGATCTTTGTTATAGAGGTTATAGAATGTTGTAGTGTTATTCCACCAGGGGATATATCGATTGACCGTCCGGATCTTTTGTGTGCACCTTTAATGGATGCTTCGTTTAATAAAGCACATTAGTGTCATAATCCGATTCGATCACTCAAATTTGTTGCTTGAATTTTGAGCAAAGTGATTCCAGTGGAAAATTGATTTCATATATATACAAGGGCTGTATAAGCGACTCGTTTCTTTAAACTAAGCGCCTTTTCGGCGACGGAGCTCGCCACATTGTGCTGCACTCTTTTTTACCCAAGCAAAGTTCAAATATTAATTTCTGGTTTCTTAGCAGGCCCATGGCGATTGTAACAGCCTCTGCTCTCTGTAGAGAACTCGTTAATCTAACAGTCGAAAATTCTTCTTGTCCTTTTCAGACGCTGGGCAGTAGCTGGCAAAAATGTGAGTCCGGGTATTTATTTCCTCTGGTAGTGCCTCCAGAATTTTAACTTTCCATGGTGTTAGATGCGGCAACAGTGCGTTCAGTCAGTCCGCTAGGACAGTCAGGAGAAATAGCACTACGAGGGAAAATTACAACCTGAGTTAGTTGTGCGGCTACACTCCACTGACGACGATGCACTGTCGGCTACCCCCGGCACGGTTTTGTCATGGCTCTCTTGCCTGAAGTTTATTCGAGAGTCTTTTTGAGCGATCTACTATAATCAAGAAAAAGCTTCAAACCTTGGCTCTCCCATAGTTTCGAATTTGGTGGATTAATATTCTTCTTTTTGTTTTACAGAGATTTAGGTACAATTTTCAGACTTAATATTATCAACAAATTGCTTAAAATCTTTCACCGCTAATCCAGAAAATTGCTTTTGCATTCCCAATAGGATGGTCTTGGGCTTGTCCTGCCTTAGTTTTGCAGTGATGGAAGCGAATCTGAAGCAAACATGGAGAAAGAACCCCAACAGCCGTATTTTAGTTGTTATTCATTTATTAACCTTGGCTACCAGTTGTTGCATTAAAATTTTATGCGTCTCGGCGTAGCGTTTATTATTGCGGGTGATTACTTCTAATCTGTGCTAAAGTCAGCCTACATTGTGGTGGTTCCCTGCTTTCTTTGAGGCCTGCTCGAAATCGATTCTGTATTTGTTTTCTATACTTTCCCTCTTATCGCGGGAGATTGGCTCTTTTTTGCCTATATCCAGAACACTAATATGAATTATATGTTAGGCTGCGGTAATGATCTCCTCACGCTGATAAAAAATGCTAGGCTTCAGTAACAACATATCAGTTGCAAATAAAGAATTTGAATCCCAAACAACCCAAAAAGCGGTCATGACCGATGGATATGAGGTGTTTCCTTAGCAAATGCAGCAATCTAATAATATATGCTGAGGCATTTCTACCCTTTTGAAGGCACGAGTAATATGAAATAGAGAAAGGGTTTGCCACGTCGATACGAATTTCTTGCATTTTAGCTCGCTATCGTTGGAAAGGGTACAAAATGTGCAAGTATGCGTAAATAGGGAGTCCAAAATATGTTAAATGCACACATGGCAACGCTTGGGTACCCTTACCAACGATAGCGAGCTTGTGCCAACGTTGTTTCTATGTGTTGTCCAGACTATATGTTGTTTGGTTAGTGGTATTATGCATAGCTATATTAGACTCTTTTAACCAATTTTTTATGGTTCAGGGTATAAAAAAGTTAAACTAATGGGTTAGTACTTATATCTTGGCCTATGGCCTATATTTATTTGAAATGAAACTGTAAACGGTAAATATTAGGACCGAAGTGGAAACAACTTAATCCATTGCATGCCTTAAAAAGCATAGACGTGTGCCATTTAGTCCTAAAGGTTAATTTGGGCTAAAGGTTTTCATGGCCACACTACTTTAATGAAACACCATTGCGGGGTCGTCGATTCTGGGTTCCTGGGATGTACTGCTCCATCTCTTTCTCATTTCGATGGTAGCGAGAATTTTCACCTTCGCTTCTGTGCCACACAGCCCGGGAAGTGAGTTTCCAACAGTTTGCCCTCATTTGCTACCATCTGGCTTCTTAAGTGTACATATCCCTTTTGAGCAATATCTGTCAATTGCCTTTTGATTCTTCCACAGTGGTTCTTCTTAGATCTTTGTTATAGAGGTTATAGAATGTTGTAGTGTTATTCCACCAGGGGATATATCGATTGACCGTCTGGATCTTTTGTGTGCACCTTTAATGGATGCTTCGTTTAATAAAGCACATTAGTGTCATAATCCGATTCGATCACTCAAATTTGTTGCTTGAATTTTGAGCAAAGTGATTCCAGTGGAAAATTGATTTCATATATATACAAGGGCTGTATAAGCGACTCGTTTCTTTAAACTAAGCGCCTTTTCGGCGACGGAGCTCGCCACACTGTGCTGCAGTCTTTTTTACCCAAGCAAAGTTCAAATATTAATTTCTGGTTTCTTAGCAGGCCCATGGCGATTGTAACAGCCTCTGCTCTCTGTAGAGAACTCGTTAATCTAACAGTCGAAAGGTCTTCTTGTCCTTTTCAGACGCTGGGCAGTAGCTGGCAAAAATGTGAGTCCGGGTATTTATTTCCTCTGGTAGTGCCTCCAAAAGCTTCAAACCTTGGCTCTCCCATAGTTTCGAATTTGGTGGATTAATATTCTTCTTTTTGTTTTACAGAGATTTAGGTACAATTTTCAGACTTAATATTATCAACAAATTGCTTAAAATCTTTCACCGCTAATCCAGAAAATTGCTTTTGCATTCCCAATAGGATGGTCTTGGGCTTGTCCTGCTTTAGTTTTGCAGTGATGGAAGCGAATCCGAAGCAAACATGGAGAAAGAACCCCAACAGCCGTATTTTAGTTGTTATTCATTTATTAACCTTGGCTACAAGTTGTTGCATTAAAATTTTATGCGTCTCGGCGTAGCGTTTATTGTTGCGGGCGATTACTTCTAATCTGTGCTAAAGTCAGCCTACATTGTGGTGGCTCCCTGCTTTCTTTGAGCTCTGCTAGAAATCGATTCTGTATTCGTTTTCTATACTTTCCCTCTTATCGCGGGAGATTGGCTCTCTTTTTTGCCTATATCCAGAACACTAATATGAATTATATGTTAGGCTGCGGTAATGATCTCCTCACGCTGATAAAAAATGCTAGGCTTCAGTAACAACATATCAGTTGCAAATAAAAGAATTTGAATCCCAAACAACCCAAAAAGCGGTCATGACCGATGGATATGAGGTGTTTCCTTAGCAAATGCAGCAATCTAATAAACTATGCTGAGGCATTTCTACCCTTTTGAAGGCACGAGTAATATGAAATAGAGAAAGGGTTTGCCACGTCGATGCGAAATTCTTGCATTTTAGCTCGCTATCGTTGGTAAGGGTACAAGATACCGCCCCATCTCTTTCTTATTTCGATGGTAGCGAGAATTTTCACCTTCGCTTCTGTGCCACACAGCCCGGGAAGTGAGTTTCCAGCAGTTTGCCCTCATTTGCTACCATCTGGCTTCTTGAGTGTACATATCCCTTTTGAGCAATATCTGTCAATTGCCTTTTGATTCTTCCACAGTGGTTCTTCTTAGATCTTTGTTATAGAGGTTATAGAATGTTGTAGTGTTATTCCACCAGGGGATATATCGATTAACCGTCCGGATCTTTTGTGTGCACCTTTAATGGGTGCTTCGTTTAATAAAGCACATTAGTGTCATACTCCGATTCGATCACTCAAATTTGTTGCTTGAATTTTGGGCAAAGTGATTCCAGTGGAAAATTGATTTCATATATATACAAGGGCTGTATAAGCGACTCGTTTATTTAATATAAGCGCCTTTTCGGCGACGGAGCTCGCCGCACTGTGCTGCAGTCTTTTTTACCCAGCAAAGTTCAAATATTAATTTCTGGTTTCTTAGCAGGCCCATGGCGATTGTAACAGCCTCTGCTCTCTGTAGAAAACTCGTTAATTAACAGTCGAAAGGTCTTCTTGTCCTTTTCAGACGCTGGGCAGTAGCTGGCAAAAATATGAGTCTATTTATTATTTTATTTATTTCCTCTGGTAGTGCCTCCAGAATTTTAACTTTCCATGGTGTTAGATGCGGCAACAGTGCGTTCAGCCAGTCCGCTGGGACAGTCAGGAGAAATAGCACTACGAGGGAAAATTACAACCTGCGTTAGTGGTGCGGCTACACTCCACTGACGACGATGCACTGTCGGCTACCTCCGGCACGGTTTTGTCATGGCTCTCTTGCCTGAAGTTTATTCGAGGGTCTTTTTGAGCGATCTACTATAATCAATAAAAAGCATCAAACCTTGGCTCTCCCTTAGTTTCGCATTTGGTGGATTAATATCCTTTTTTTGTTTTACAGAGATTTAGGTACAATTTTCAGATTTAATATTATCAACAAATTGCTTAAAATCTTTCACCGCTAATCCAGAAAATTGCTTTTGCATTCCCAATAGGATGGTCTTGGGCTTGTCCTGCCTTAGTTTTGCAGTGATGGAAGCGAATCTGAAGCAAACATGGAGAAAGAACCCCAACAGCCGTATTTTAGTTGTTATTCATTTATAACCCTGGGCTACCAGTTGTTGCATTAAAATTTTATGCGTCTCGGCGTTTATTATTGCGAGTGAGTACTTCTAATCTGTGCTAAAGTCAGCCTACATTGTGGTGGCTCCCTGCTTTCTTTGAGGTCTGCTAGAAATCCATTCTGTATTCGTTTTCTATACTTTCCCTCTTATCGCGGGAGATTGGCTCTTTTTTTTGCCTATATCCAGAACACTAATATGAATTATATGTTAGGCTGCGGTAATGATCTCCTCACGCTGATAAAAAATTCTAGGCTTCAGTAACAATATATCAGTTGCAAATAAAAGAATTTGAGTCCCAAACAACCCAAAAAGCGGTCATGCCGATATATGGATATGAGGTGTTTCCTTAGCAAATGCAGCAATCTATAGCTAGACGCTGCTCTAGTCCTAGGACCTGGGGTGGAGTGTCTATCTCCTATTGGCTCTCAATGCTCTCTCTTTATGTTTAGGGATTGATTAAATGTGTGTGTGTGTATGTGTCCGACAAGCAAAACTGCGCAAAAATTCAAATTTTCCCAAATGCTAAGGCATTTCTATCCTTTTGAAGGCACGAGTAATATGAAATAGAGGAAGGGTTTGCCACGTCGATGCGAAATTCTTGCATTTTAGCTCGCTATCGTTAGTAAGGGTACCCAAGCGTTGCCATGTGTGCATTTAATATATTTTGGACTCGCTATTCATGCATACTTGCATATTTTGTATATGAATAGAAGCATTTATGCGCTTATGTGCCTGTCTGTCCCCGATGCAAATTTAACAAGATTTTGGGATTTCTTATTTTCGACTTCTTAACATAGACACACACATACAAATGTCCGTGAATGGGCAGATCATGTGCGCAAAATAAAATATCATTATTGGCACGCGTCTGACGCGCGCCCTTCTTATTTAAGATTTATGATGATTAAGATTTTAAATATGCAAGTATTTGTAAATAGCGAGTCCAAAATGCACACATGGCAACGCTTGGGTACCCTTACCAACGACAGCGAGTTTGTGCCAACGTTGTTTCTATGTGATGTCCAGTCTATATGTTGTTTGGTTAGTGGTATTATGCACAGCTATATTAGACTCTTTTAACCAATTTTTAATGGTTCAGGGAATAAAAACGTTAAACTAATGGGTTAGTACTTATTTCTTGGCCTATGGC